TACCTTAGAGAGAAATCTGTACTTTTACAAAGTTAATGTAACGTGCTCTGCTCACTGCTGCTGGAGTGTGACAGCTTTCCTTGCTGAAGGGTCTGTTACTCCATATGGTATGGTATGTGGGGGCACTAAGAATCCAGAAGGTCCCCAGGCAGTGCTTCTGTCCCTGCTGGTCTTACCAGAGGGGGCCTATGCTGAAGGGTGAGTTAGTTCAGGTTCATTCCTGAGAACCAGGCTGACCCTGTATCTTTTGCCCACCATCACATTCTTAGGGTCTGTGCTCACAGGGAGTGCCACATGGCCTCAGTGCTATAATGTTTTGGACTCTTAATTGCCTCTTCTATATAAGGAGGGCTCTGGTTTGAAATGTTGCCTTGTGTTTGTCACAAGTGAGAGCCTTTGTCAATAAGAGTTTCTGCAAAAGTGTATGAATGAGACCATTTATCCCGGAGGCCCTCAGCTCTTTACAGATGTCATCTCATTGTCCCACTCTTTCTCCTGGATAGAAAATAGGTGGGTGGGGACATCCAAGAGGTGAAGGGGTTTCCTAAGGGTTCTGGAATAAGCCTGAGCACAGACAAAATTGTGTGACTGCACCTCAGGTGTGGTACCTCTGTTGATTGCTAATAAATCGATGTCTAATGTTTCTTGATTAAAGAAAACTATTGCAGAAGCAACAAAATCAGAGTCCCTTGAAAAGGAAAAGTTTGGGCTCAGCGCCTGTGGCTCAGGTGGCTAAGGCGCCAGCCACATACACCTAAGGTGGCGGGTTTGAATCCAGCCCGGGCCCGCCAAACAACGATGACAGCTGCAACCAAAAAAAAATAGCCAGGCATTGTGGCGGGCGCCTGTGGTCCCAGCTACTTGGGAGGCTGAGGCAGGAGACTCGCTTGAGTCCAGGAGTTGGAGGTTGCTGTGAGCTGTGGTGCCACGGCACTCTGCCCAGGGGGATAGCTTGAGGCTCTGTCTCAGAAAAAGAAAAGGGAAAGTGTAATAAATTTAGTCATAATTTTTAACTCTTGATGCAGGGCATTTTAGACAGTTTTCAAGTCAATGTAGTGGTTAGATAGTAACTAGTGAAAATCCCACAGATGAAACATGCATTGGACTTGACAAGACCACATTCCATCTCTCTCCTGTTTGCCAGGACACACACAGATGGGGACTTTTCCTTTTCTTTAAAACAGAGACCTGAGTGTGGAGGCATTCCAGGTATGGTTATGGGTACATTAGGGTCCAGTATCTGTAGGGGCTTCCACAAAAGGTTCTGCCTGGTCCCAGGCAAGTATTTCCCAGCACGTCAGCAGGAGGGCCCACATGTGCCCTGACTGGGCGAGGGTTCTGTCCTGTGTCTGCCCTGGGACAGAACAGACTCAGACCTACTGGGCCCTGGGTGCTTGGTGCCAAGTAGTACTGAGTGAATATAGCTACAGCCTATGGTTATTTTCTTTTTCAGAGAACCCAAATATGAAGAGAATTTAATATTAGAATAAAGTTACCTATTTTCCTTTATAAATATGAGCTTAAGGTACCCAGTTTTGTTTTACTTAACTGCTTTGACTTCACAGTAAAATTCAGTTAGAACAGGTGTACGGAAACTCAGGCTTGTATATCTTGGGCTCTTTCATATATTAAGGGACCTCTGACATTCTTGACTATGAGAGATACCTAAATGCCAAGCCGTTAATGAGTTTGCTCATTCTCAGAATTTGTGGTTTGTTATCCTCAGATTTCACTGGATGTGAGAGGAGGTGGCTCAGAGGACTTTAGGAGTTAGACAGATTCTGATTGCTAGACACGTACCTGCCCTCTGAAGTGCTGCACTCTGGAGATTAGAGTTCCTGAAATTCACTGGGAGTGACTTACAATAGTATATCATTTGAAGGGGACTTGCACAATTATTCTGTAGCTAAAAAAAAAAAAAGAAACACCTGGGATTTGGTGGTGGTTGAAGCTGAAAGATTTTACTTTCCAGATGTTTGTGTATATGTTTAAGATGTATTTATCTCCAATCACATGAATATTATTTTAAAATACCGAGTGACTTGCTGTTAAAACCGAAGTAACAGATAAGTAGATTGCAGATAAGTGCGGTTGGGTAAGTATGTACCCACTGAAGTATAGTGTGGGAAGACTGCCTCTGAGTATAGTTTGGTGAAGAGTCTGGTTTCAGTAATGGCTGACTTTGAATAGTTTTGTTTTGTTTTTATTGAACAGATCATGGGGAAGGACATGTCTTTGTCACCACATACCTGAATTTCTTAGCGACTTCCATGACCCATAACCGTCATACCTTAAATGCCAACACAGAATTGGTTTTATAGGAAGACAGACCCAGTTGCCAGAATTTTGCCTCAAACACTTATAATTTCTTTCCTTTCCTGGCCTCTCCCCTTTTCCAAACACTCCATCTTGATTTCTGCCTTTCACCTTACATGCTAACCCTAAACCCTGTCTTCTATTTTTAGCACAATTTCCAAGAGTTTACTGAATTACATCTAGTGAGATACTTTCTGAAAGAAAGTTAAGTGTAAGAAACACTCTACTCTGGGCTCGGCACCTATAGCTCAACCGGCTAAGGCGCCAGCCACGTACACCTAAGGTGGCGGGTTCGAATCCCCAGCCCGGACCCGCCAAACAACAATGATGGCTGCAACCAAAAAATAGCCGGGCGTTGTGGCGGGCGCCTGTGGTCCCAGCTACTTGGGAGGTGGAGGCAGGAGACTCGCTTGAGCCCAGGAGTTGGAGGTTGCTGTGAGCTGTAATGCCACGGCACTCTGCCCAGGGGGACAGCTTGAGGCTCTGTCTCAAAAAAAAAAAAAAGAAACACTCTACTCTGTTCCTCCTTCCTTGGGGTTCCCAGTGTCACTCTGCTGGCCCTGCAAGGCTCATACTAGGCCTGTGCACATCAGCTCTCCCCGTCTTCTCACTGTCACTGCAGCCCCTGCTAAAGAGTGCTCCACAGGGGTCTGTCTGAGCACACTGTCAGATGTGGTCATCCCCTCACCCTAGCTTCTGCTATGTCTTTCCTTTGTCCTGTCTCCCTGCCTCTTGGTCATCTCACCATAAAATGTCATTTTTGTAAGTAATATGACCTCGTTTTATTCAACATTGTACTTCAGCACCTAGAACAAAGATGAGCACCAAAAGGGTAGTTGGGAAGGGTTATTTGCACATTCTCTGGAACTCTAGGAAGACTTCTTGGCATCTTTTTAAACTCCTCCCTCTTCTGTTGTGTTTTCCACAGCCAGTCTTAGGTCTGTGACTCACTTCCACACTGGGCATTTTCTGTTTACCTCCTAGGTCCAGTCTCACTGTGTCAGGCACGGTTCTAGGCACCTCATATGCATGAGTTCTGCAAGGTTTTCCCTATGACCCTCTGAGACCTGTGCCCTTAATACCCACATCTTACAGATGAGCAAAAGGAAACACAGTCATTATTGCCCAAGTCGCATGACTTTTACCGTAGGTGTTAAGAAAAGGATTCTCAGCTCAGTGTCTACTTTGCTGACTCTGAGCTCCTCCCTCTCTACCTGTCTATATCCTCACCCTCTTAGCCCCCTCCAGTCAAGTACATTGAGAAGTGCCATCCAGGTAAGAGGACTTTCTCTGTAGTGGACAGACAGGTATTTGACTGAGAGAACTCATCTGCCCCTGGCCTTCCCACTCCTGCCAGGAGCACGACTCTCAGCGTAGCCTGCTGCCTGTGATGCCTTCTGTCATCAGAGACTGCTTGTCCTCATGCAGCTGTGCAGCCAGGTGGTGATGTGGTAACAGTGGGAGCATGTGTGTTCCCAGGCATTTCTGTGGGACAGAATGCTACCTGCCTTTGCCTTTACCTGTCAGGTAACTTTAAAGCCTAGCTCTCTAATTCTCAGGTGTAAGCCTGTAGTCAAAAGCAGCATAGAACTTTACTTCCAAAATTGTGTAATTTTCATTTGTTCTGAGCCTGACTTTCTGCATGTGATCTGATTACATGTGCCTCAACATTTTGTCTGCAGAGGGAAGGTAGAAAATGGTCAGTACTGGACACAGATAGTACATTCATTCACTCCAGAAATATTACTTGTCTGATAATAAGCTTTGTGATGAACAAAAGAGCCACAGTGAGGGAGACACATGTTAAAAGAACACATAAGGGTGTGACAAGTGCTACAAAGATGCAAACATGGTGTGGTGACTGAAAGGTAGACTTGACTTGGTCAGGGAGGTCCTTTCCAAGGAAACCTCACGCTCGAGACTGATAACATAACCCAAAGAAAAGAGCAGGGTGGAAAGGCATGGGGCTCGGGAGCTGCACACTCAGCTGTTGTCAGGTTACCTGCTGCTAAAAACACCTGGCTACTCTGGCTCATGCTGTCAACATGTTTCAGGTTCACTGCTCCCTCAATGTCAAGATCAATTCCCAGCAAGCAAGATACAATTTAAAGTTTGATTTATTATTTATTAGATGTTACAAACACAGGATATCAGTGTCTTATTTCTTTTTTTCTTCGATGTCAAAAGTCTGGGTCATCTTACTGATAGTTAAGAAACTTGCCCAAGGGGGTGGCACCTGTGGCTCAAAGGAGTAGGGCACCAGCCCCATATACCATAGGAGGTGGTGGGTTCAAACCTGGCCTCAGCCAAAAACTACAAAAGAAAAAGAAAGAAACTTGCCCAAGGTCACAAACCTAATACACAGTAGAGTCAAATTTTAGACTGAGGTGTGATTATAAATCACATCACTTTTTCACTATACATTGATTCCTTGGCATTCATAGAGCCAGTAAGGCATACTCCCCTGAGTGTTTGAACTTTCTGTGACAACTGGGTCCATGGTGTTGTCTGGACCATGCAGCAAACTTCCACATCCCTTTCCATAACGGTGCAGCAGACATAGCATAGGACAGAGTGGGCTGGCAGGCCAACACCTTGCCCTGTGGCTCTGTCGGAACCCAGTGTGTAACCTGGATTGAGATGCCTAACAAGTGACAGTCTTGCCTTGTGCCTCTGTCCTGCAGGGGCTTTCCACAGAAGGCCAGCAGGACTGCCAGAATAGCCTCAGACGAGGAGATTCAAGGCACAAAGGATGCTGTTATTCAAGACCTGGAACGGAAACTTCGCTTCAAAGAGGACCTTCTGAACAATGGCCAACCGGTATGCAGAGATTTGGGGTCCAGTTGTGCACTTCAGAGGGCCGTGTCTTCACTCACTGAAACTTAGGTTCTTAAGCTACATACATGAAAATATTCCATTCTTATTAGCTTGAGCGCTTGAGTCTAGAGAAAAAGGAGAAAGTGAAGTGGGTCCCTTCTGTGGCTCTTCTCTGTTCCCTACTATTTGTGAAACCACCCTGGGGTAGAAGCAGAGAGGGAAAGAAGGGAGGAGGGGCACTTAAGGAGGGCTGGAAAAGGTGGGACATGGGGGGGGGGGAGGGCCAGGCTGTCTCTGTCCAGGAGCAGTGGATGGAGATAAAGTACCAAAAGAAGACTCTGGATTCTAGAGCATATATATATTGCCTCTACACAAAAAATATTTTTTTCAAGTTTTTTTTCTTAATTTCAGAATTTTATGGGAGTACAAATGTAAATTGCTCCTGTACATTTTGAGTAAAGTTGTAAGTGTGCCCTGGATGATGTACACTGTATTCCCCTACCATTGATGAGCGTTATTTCCTTATGTGCACACAAGTCTTGATTGCCTTGTTCTAATTTAATAGTGAGTATACCTGATGTTTGTTTTTCCATTCTTGTGATATTTCACTTAGAAGAATGGTCTCCAGCTCCATCCAGGTAATATAAGACATGAGCTCATCATTCTTTATGGCTGAGTAGTGCTCCCTGATGTGTGTACACCACAGTGTGTGAATTCACTTGTGTGTCAATGGGCACTTGAGTTGGTTCTGAATCTTTGTGATTGTGAATTGTGCTGTTATGGACATTCAAGTGCAGGTGTCTTTTTTATAAAATCTTTATTTTCCTTTGGGTAAATACCTACTTGTGTGAATGCTGCATTAAATGGTAGATTTTAGTTCTTTGACTGCTTTTTGGGTCTTCTATGTCTTTAAGAGTTTTTCCAACTGTTCTAGAATTCTTAGAGTTTCATGCCTTAGGTTTAACTGTTATCCATTTTGAATAAATTTTTGTGAGTGGAGAAAGGTGTGGATCCTGTTTCAGTCTTCTACGCATAACTGTCCGGTTCTCCCTGCACCATCTGTTGAACGGGGATTCTTTTCCCTAGCATGGTATATTTTTGTCTGCTTTGTCAGATGGGAGTATCTGTTCTTGTGCCAGTACCATGCTGTTTTGATTACTTTATCTTTACTAGAGAAACTATTTCTGAAGTTCAGTTCTGTTCTACCCGGTATTCTTCTAGATTCTGTATCCTTAAGAGTAATGATGCCCATTGTGTAGTCTCGTACAGTCTTCTAGTGTCAGTGTCAGCATCAGAGCAAGGTAAGTCAGGAAGAAATTAATTCTAATAATTAAGTTTTAAAACAGAATTGTGGAGGACATAAGTTGATAGGGTTAAATATATATATATATATATATGATGTTTTCTCTGTTGGACTTAACTGTTTCTCCATCAGTTTTTTTTGTTTGTTTATACTGACCCCCACATCAGAGTATTTTAAGGGCATAGGAAAAGCAAGTCTAGCAAATAAGATCCCCCATAAAGAGAGGACCCTTTTGTAGCTTTATTATGGAATTATCACCAGAAAAATTTGCCTGGCTCAGTGCCTGTGGCTCAAGCAGCTAAGGCGCCAGCCACATACACCTAAGGTGGCGGGTTCAAATCCCCAGCCCGGACCTGCCAAACAACAATGACAGCTGCAACCAAAAAATAGCCAGGCATTGTGGCGGGCACCTGTGGTCCCAGCTACTTGGGAGGCGGAGGCAGGAGACTCGCTTGAGCCCAGGAGTTGGAGGTTGCTGTGAGCAGTGAAGCCATGGCACTCTACCCAGGGGGACAGCTTGAGGCTCTGTCTCAAAAAAAAAAAAAAAGAAAGAAAGAAAAATTTGCCTGACTTATAAATAGAAGAAAAGGACCTCTTTGTATAAAATCTTCCTCTCAAACACCTTTTTCAGAGTAGGAAGTTCTCTGTGTTGATGGTGTTTTCTGGGAACTTTAATTACCAAGAGCTGACAAACAAGTATGTGAGCAAGCCGCATTTGATTGGACAGGTGGAGAATAGAGGAGGGTGTTGGATGCTGATTTTAATTATTAGAACCTCTTAATCTGACGAAGGAAAATGAAAATTCTAATGAGTTTTGAGTTACTCATTTCACCAAATATAGAAAATTTTCACAAAGGGAAAATATTTTCTCCCTGAAATAAGTGATGCGTGTGTTAAACATACATACTCTGCAAGTTTCCCTAGGCTCTGTCAACCAAAGCCTATAAAAAATTAAGATGAATACTTAGGGGAACTTTTTCAAGCCAGATACAGGCATCCTTCCAGCTTTTTTGTTTATGATTGTTTATTTAAATATTCCGTATGGAATAAGATTCTCTTGGTTTATTTAAATATTCCTTATGGAATAAGATTCTCTTGGTGAAGCTTTTATAAGCTATTGTTCAATCATATTGTGTGTATATATATTTATATGTATCTGTTATATACTTTATATATCTTTTATATATAAATATGTAATATTTATATTTATCTGCTTATCCATGAATAACGTTCACAGTAAGTTCCATGGATTCACCTTAGAGCCTAAAAGGACAAGAAAAAACAAGACTTCCCTCTTTAGAATCTGGGATTCTCAAACAACTTTTCCCTAATGTCACACATTACTCTTATTTTTGGCTCCTCTAGACAAGGGCTGTACATCCACATGGCATAGAGATGCAGAAACAAAACTTAGTAAGAAATGTAGAGTTTTAAAAAAATTGTGAAGTACATTTGTCTCCTAATGGTAGCAGGTGAAATAATAGATATAAAATTGACATTTCTGCTTAGAAGTATAGAAATGCTTCTTAAGAGAATAGGTATTTAAAATGCTCTTTGAATATTGAGTTTAGTGATTCTTTTTTAAGAGATGGAAGAAAGTAATTTAAGTCCACAGTATGCTGTACTGTGGCAGGCCATGCACACCAGACACCTGCCTTTTTCTCCTTCCCCTGCCCATTTTTTTTATTGTATTAAGACATTTATATTCTGCATGTAGTAGATTTAACATGTACCCTTGTAAAATGCACCATAGGTGTGGTCCCACAAATCACCTTCCCTCCACCCTCTCTCCACCCTTCCTCCCACCCTTTTCCCCTTCATCTTGGGCTATAGTTGGGTTATAGCTTTCATATTGGAAGTGTGGTGCTTATAAATTGGTTTCATAGTAGGGCTGAGTATATTGGATACTTTTTTTCCATTCTTGAGATACTTTACTAAAAGTATCTCATGTTCCAGCTTCATCCATGTAAACATAAAAGAGGTAATGTCTCCATCTTTTTTTAAGGCTGTAGAATAGAAATAATGGTCTTTTTTTTTTTTTTTTAATGAAGTAATTTGAACTTCAAGACTGTCATTTGGCACATTTTACTTCCCAGTTTCCCACTTGCTGAGATTGGAACCAGCAATTACTGGAAATTATAAATTTACCTAGCACATTTTTCTGATTAGAGAGTTTCCAATAGAATTTGTATCTATATTCAGAAATTTGGACGTTTATCTGAAGTAACTTCTGTGCCCTTTTTAGATTCTGCCCTACGAATTACTCTTGCTAATAAGACACTTAATAATAAAATGCCTTGGATGGGATGGTCTCTGAAAAGTTCCTCCCAGATCCCTAATCTAAGTTACTAGAGGACCAACACTCAGTCGTGGATATTACCAGACAGAAGAAAGATGTCAGTATTTCTTACATATAGGAATGGCCTAGCAAAAACAGTTGGGGCTGATTCCAAAGTGCCGGTTGCTGGTTACAAAAACCACTTTGCATGCTGGTCTGGACAGGCAGTCTGCTTCTGAGCAGAGCTGTGCATATGGTGTCAGCCTGGGCAGGTTTCCTTCTTAGTCCTATGGCTAACACAGCCACGTGCCATTGTTCTTTAGGGATCCTTACATTTGCCTCATTCATCCCCTTCACTTAGCAGTCTAGGAAATGCCTTGAGCAGTGAAGACCTCACAGCACAGAGGATAGTCACTGAGAACTGGGCTAAAACCGCCCTTAGCTAACACAAACTGAACACGTCCTGTGGGCCAGACATCATGTTAAGCGAGTGACAGAAATGTCAGTGATATGTTCTTTTTATCTTTCCCGCCCCCCCAAGTGGGGGTCGGGGGTGGGGAGGATGGGTTTGAACCCACCACCTCTGGTATACGGGGCCAGTGCCCTACCCCTTTGAGCCACAGGCGCCACCCTCGATATGTTCTTTTTATCTTTCATGTCTTCTCTTCTAGAGTATCTTCCTGCTTTTCCTGTCATTCAGCCCTCAGGCTGTTCTGAAGCCATTGGATGGCTATAAAATAGCATTTCCTTTAAATGGTTATTTTGCTATTTGCACATCTTTGATTTCCTCTATGATTTTCACGAAGGATAGGCATATGACACATATTTTCAGTGTGGCTTCTGCCTGGTTGCTTATTGCTCACTTTAAATTGGTGCTGTATCAATTGGTGGCTGAGGTGGGGATGGGAGGCCTGCTTTCCCACACTGTTTCTGACAATGGGAAGCCCATAGATAGCCTCAGAAAATACCAAAACTTACTCTGTTTTTATTCTTTTTCATAAGGTATATGTATTTGTGATTTTTTTCCCTCTAATTTTGTATTTTGGTGACTTATTTTGTCTAGAGGTTAACATATGAAGAAAGAATGGCTCGACGACTGTTGGGTGCTGACAGTGCAACGGTCTTCAACATCCAGGAGCCTGAAGAGGAGCCAGCTAATCAGGTACATGTTGCTCTGAGCTGCTTTGAAGAGTAACAATGGTTTTATCTCCTTCCCCATACTTCTCATGGACATGATTCTTAGGATCAATTCTCTGGAAAGTGGAAAGGAAGTCACAGAAAATTGTACTAATATCAATCAACCTCATAACTGATATTTAAGGAACACAAAGTCTACTGATGTTAAGTCATTGATAGAATCATTTCCATCAGTGATAACTGTTCTTTTTATCTTCTTCTTTATCAGTTTATTCTACTTTAGTGTATCTTTCTGTTTTTTCCTGTCCCATACTTTGATGCAAAATAGTTTTGTGTGGAGAAACACATTTTCAGTGACTTCACGAGTTAGTATATATTCCCTGTTACAGGTGAACAGCATGGGGTGAGCAGCACCAACCCCCTGCACAGTTTAAAATCTACATACAACTGTTGACTCCCCTAAAAGTTAACTACTAATAGCCTAATGTTAACCGAGGCCTTACCACTAACAGCTGATTAACACATATTTTGTATATATCTTATTTTGTTGTATACTTTATGTATTATAATAAGGTGCTTTTCGTAAAAAATAAAAAACATATTTACTATTCATTAAGTGGAAATGGCTCATCATTAAAGGTCTTCATCCTCCTCAGCTTCATATTGAGTAGGTGGAGGAGGAAAAGGGATTGGTTGATCTTGCTGCTGTAAGTGTGGCCAAAATCCACTTAGAAGGGTACCCTCATGGTTCAGACCCATTTTCTTCAAGGGTCAGCTGTGTATTTTTTTTTTTTTTTTAAGATGGAGCCTTAAGCTATCCCCCTGGGTGGAGTGCCATGGTGTCACAACCTCCAACTCCTGGGCTCAAGCGAGTCTCCCGCCTCAGCCTCCCAAGTAGCTGGGACCACAGGTGCCTGCCACAACGCCTGGCCATTTTTTGGTTGCAGCCGTCATTGTTGTTTGGCGGGCCCGGGCTGGGGATTCGAACCCGCCACCTTAGGTGTATGTGGCTGGCGCCTTAGCTGCTTGAGCCACAGGCGCTGAGCCCAGCTGTGTATTTTTAATACCTAGTCAAAGTATCTAGTACAATATCTTCTGTGTACAGAAAAGACTGTCTTTACCTTCTTTCATATGTACAGATGCTCCTTGACTTAGGATGAGGTTGTGTCCTGATAAAATCCATCTTAACTTGAAAGTACTGTAAGTTGAAAGTAAATTTAACACCCCTGTTCTACCGGCCTTCTCAGCCCAGCCTGCCTTAATGTGCTCAGAACACTGACATTAGCTTGCAATTGGACAGAATTATCTTACATAAAGCCTATTTATAATAACATGCTGACTATCATGGAATTTATACTACTGTACTGAAAGTGAAAGACAGAATGGTCATGTGAGTGCCTACAGCACAGTTTCTGCTGATGTGTCGCACCACTGTAAAGTCAGATGGTATCTGCAGTTGTAAATCACTGATCAACAAAAGATCTAAAATGTTCTTTGTTCCCCAGCTGCCACTAAAAAAGTCACTTCATGCATTTGATGTAAGCTGCTTTTATTTGGAGTGTCCAGATGCAGTATCAAAGCTAAAAGAAAGTTTTAAAACAAGTTTAAAGGATCAAGTAAACTCTTTCTCACATCTGTTGACATCCTTCAAAATCTGAAAGTTTTTCTGTGCTAAATGTTGCTGCTACAAAAGTTTCACTTAAAACTAGAAATCTGGCTCAGCGCCTGTGGCTCAAGTGGCTAAGGCGCCAGCCACATACACCTAAGGTGGCGAGTTCGAATCCAGCCCGGACCCGCCAAACAACAATGATGGCTGCAACCAAAAAATAGCCAGGCATTGTGGTGGGCGCCTGTGGTCCCAGCTACTTGAGAGGTGGAGACAGGAGACTCGCTTGAGCCCAGGAGTAGCCCAGGGGGATAGCTTGAGGCTCTGTCTCAAACAATAAATAAATAAATAAATAAAAATAAAACTAGAAATCTTGCTGGATTCTTATTTCTATTATTGGTCTTTACTGCTTTTTTTCTCCTATTACAGGAAATTGGGTCTCCTCATGCTTCTGTAGGGAATCCTCTGGATGGTCAAAAGGTCATGCCTTTCTCCTCTTTTGTTGCTGTGTCTGTTCTCTCCACTTGTATCTGTCTTTACTGCCATAAATGCTATGACTAGTATCTGTTTTTGTTGAATATCAGATGAACAAAATTATTGCAATATGATTTTTTTGACATTTATTTACAAACTTGAATTTAATGTGTCATTAATACATAGTCTGCCCTTTAAGTCATGAAATAATTTTCATTTGTTATACCTTTCTGAGAGAAAAGTAGTTGTGATTAATTTGATAATAATTAGACCAAACAACTGTATGGCGTTATTTTTTGTAGTTTTACCATGGTATTTCTTCCTTTAAACACAAAATTTTTTTTAAGAGTTCAATAACTTTTAAATATAGTTAAACTAACTTGTCTTCATTCTACTTTGTAGGAAAAAAGAAAACAACACCCTGTAGGATTAACTTTAATCACACATAAGATGCTGACACACTCTTTAACCAAAATTTTGCCTGGATTGTCCGCTGTACTTTTCCTTCTAAACCTAGTGGGTTCCCTGAGTTCAGGAGGCCCTGTGAGGCACAGGGATGTTAGAGATTGGACAGAGTGCCATTTTTTCCTTAAAATTCTGTGTAATATGCAGCTGTTTGCCACATGTGTACTGTTAGCTGTCAGGAGAGATGCCCCACCCTCCATCAGCTTTCATCGTACAGAAAGACATCACTGCTCCATTGTGTAACACTTTATTTTTATGAACAGTTTAGGAAAACACAGCATTTGTGTTTGCCTTTTTCTGTCCTTGTCCCTCTTTCTCCTGCCCCAAGAGAAGAAGAAAAAAACTTGATCTTTTGGAGTTTTTCCCTTCTTTTCTTTTTCTTGGATAATAGGTTTAGAAGATAGCTACTCACCTCCAGATGTTTTTATTTCAAATAAAATTAAACTGGGCGCAGACTGTGTTTCTGAGCTCCATGTTAGTAATGTATCTGTCTCCTTGGTGCCTTACAGGGAGGGTGAGGTGCACAGAATCCACCAGGCAGAACGGCAGCAGGGGACATGCTATGTTGGGAAGCGTCACTCACACTCTCTCTTCCTCTAGGAGTACAAAGTCTCCAGCTGTGAGCAAAGGCTCATCAGCGAGATCGAGTACCGGCTGGAGAGGTCTCCTGTGCAAGAGTCAGGAGAGGAAGTGCCCTTTGTGGATGTCCCTGTGGACAAGAGGGTGGCCCCGATCTTTGAGATGAAGCTGAAACATTACAAGATCTTTGAGGGGATGCCAGTGACTTTCACCTGTAAAGTGTCTGGGAATCCAACGCCAAATGTGAGCTGACAATAAAATAGTTGGCTTTTTAAGAGTTGTTTTCTGAGGAAGAGGCTAGCTTCCAAAAGACAGTACGTGTGGTGGGAGGAAAAGACACAGACCACCTCTCTTGGGTACCTGAAGGTCAGGGTTACCCTCAGGAGCCATCAGAAACCAGAGGGATGTGGGGAGTGGAGAACAAAAGGGACCCCTGTATTATTTACTCCTCACTGTAACTCCCTAATTGCAAATGACCTCACTGAGTTCTGTGTGGTTAATTAACTTTGCCATAGTACAAGAGCTGGTGAGTGGCCAGGCTTGGATGTGGACCCCATGCTCTGTACACACCAAGTGACTGCTGGTTGTATGTAGTAAACTTTAAACCCTACTGTACAAAACCAAGGCTTCCTGTGTGTACAGAGGAAGTAAGCAATCACAGCTGCTGTTTGGAAGGTGATGGGAGCACCAGCCATGGGAGCATGTGCAAGTGCTGGGCACAGGGCGCCGCTCCTTAGAGAGAAGACTAGAATTAACTTCACTAGCCCAGCAAAGCAATAAACTTCCCTAGAACTTGAGTGAAAAAGATAAAAAGGGCAAGAAATTGAAACCCCCAAATTACACTATGACATATGGAACCAAAAATGCAGAAATTAATACGAAAGGATGATTACAACCCTTAGAAGCAAGCACTATCCTGTGCATGGGTGCAGCTCAAGGTGTTTCCCACTCCCCCAGAGTAGAAAGAAGGAAATTGTGCTGAACATTAGTCCAATAAAGACTGACAGGCCAGGTGAGGACAGTCAACAGAGCCAGGAGCAGGGAAACAGAGGGCAAGCACTGCACCATATTGGACGTACTAAAGAGGCTCTAAAATAACTACTTAAAGTAATTGAAACTACTTATGAAGGGATAGAAACTATAATGAGAGAACAGGACAGCCCCCCCCCCCAGAATGCAGATTTTTAAAACAAGCACATAGAGGCTCAGCGCCTGTGGCTCAAGTGGCTAAGGCACCAGCCACATACACCTAAGGTGGCAGGTTCGAATCCCCAGCCCGGGCCTGCCAAACAACAATGATGGCTGCAACCAAAAAATGGCC